CGGAACGAATTTACGGAAAATTAACTAACGAACGGAGACGTAACAAATTTGTGTCATGAGTGGGATAAAAAAAAATAGGAAACGAGATGTGGCAAATCAAACTACAGCCTAGCAGACTTGATGGCAGCACTACAAGAGCAGCAAAAGAAACAAGAAGAACGAGAAAATAAACAAGAAGAGCGACAACAGCAGTTGCAAGAAACCTGCAACAGTGGCAGATCGAACAGCAAAATAAACAAGAAGAACGAGAAAATAAACAAGAAGAGCGACAACAGCAGTTGCAAGAAACCTGCAACAGTGGCAGATCGAACAGCAAAATAAACAAGAAGAGAGATTACAGCAGTTGTTGGAGGAAAAGGAAAAGAAACAAGAAGAACAAGAGAAGAGACAACAGCAGTGGCAAGAAAACCTGCAACAGTGGCAGCTCGAACAGCAAAATAAACAAGAGGAGAGACTACAACAGTGGCAAGAAGTACAAATGGAAAACATTAGTAAATTTAAAAGCGAATTAGATACATTAAAGGATGATCTATTGTCTTTTACAGAAGGAGGATACATTAACCATCGACTTAATCAGCCCCAGACAATGGCAAGCCCCATCCAGACCCTGCAGCTAAACCCTAATGCAGACATATTCAGTGCTGTTAGAAGTCACATCCCAGATATGAATGTCAGTAATAGGAGTGATCCAGTGCGAAGAAAGCCACAGGAATTCAATGGGAAGGCACCGTGGGAAGCATATAGAGCACAATTTGAACTACTGGCAGAGATGAATGGATGGACAGAGGAGTAGAAAGCAGTATATCTGGCAACGAGCTTGAATGTACAACCACTGGAAATACTTGGACAGTTGTCAGCAGATGACAGACACAACTATATAGCACTGGTAGCGGCTCTAGAACTCAGGTACGGAACCCAAAATCAGTCAGAATTCTACAGAGCTAGGTTCTGGACGAGAGTCCGTGCTAAAAGGGAGAGCCTGCAAGAACTGGCACAGGACTTGGAAAGCATGGCACACAAGGCCTACCCAACTGCACCACCCGATCTCCTCAAGTTGTTGCTGAGGGATCAGTTCATAGATGCCTTGGACAGTCCACAACTTAAGATACAAGTGAAGCAAGCACACCCCTCTACCATGCAGGATGAAATGGCCAGAGCTTTCGAATTTGAAGCCTACATTAAGTCCAGCACAGAGGTACCAAGGTTGGTACAGTCATCTGGATTCAAGGCCAGAAAAGGGAAGCTTTCAGAGAAGCTTGATGGACTTTGCTGGCACTGTAACAAACATGGGCACAAGAGAGCTCAATGCTGGAAACTTCAACACAGGGGAGATGCCACAGCAGGACAGGCTGGTATCCAGAAAGGTTGTTGGAACTGTGGAGAGCAATGACATATGAGGAGCTAGTGTAAAAAGAATACTACCAATAAGTCAGCCATGGGGAAACCAGTAGTGGTTGGTGTTGAGGGACACTCACCAACCCCATCGTGAAAGTCCCAACAGCTAGGT